TGTGCATGCCTCTAAATAAGCACATTATCTTCTACATACTGTGTGCTCCTTGAGATCGAGGACTAGATCACATTTCTTTCTCCAGCTCTTACGATACCTCCTGGCTAAAGGAGGCATCAATAAATGTTCACTGAAAAAAATACACAAAATTTGTTTTAACAGTATGAGTTGGCTCTCAAGAATATTCTTTTTTTTTCCCTAGTAGTGACTGTGAATTTGGTTTTATCTGTGTACACACCTCAATCTTCCATTTCTCTTGTGATTGCTAATTTCACAGATCTTGCATTTCACATGACTGAACTAGATTCTTTAAATTGGCAGCAACTAAATAAGACCTCTGGTCAAACTTGGGGAATAAAATGTATCCACCTAAAGAATTAAACCTATGGTCATTGGTTGAATGTTCTTTAAGCTCCTGGTGCTGTGCTAAATACCTTACATGGATTAATTACTTTAATCCTTACAATTTTGTGAGATAAGTATACATTTTACCAATGAAGAAATAGAAGCATTAACAGACTAAATGATTTTTCTCAAACTCACAAAGCAAGTAATGGCTGAGCTGGAATTTGAACCCTGAGCTATTTCAAAGGCCCTCAGAGGTGCTCATCTTCAGGCTCTGAAAACAGGGATGAATGTAGAACAAGTAGCAGGTTTTCTAGTTATTCTCCCGTGCCTTGAACAGAACTTCTTTGGCATTTAGCCTTAGAAATCCACACACACTCGCCCACACAAGTGTGCCCCATTCATGCATGCAAAGTGCGTACATGTCCACACATACGCGTGCACGCGTACACACACACACACACACATTTCCGCCAGAAAATAAACTCCATGAGGGCAGAGAGGTTTGTTTTGCAATGAACTATCTTGGTGCCCTAGAACCCAGCCTGGCACATAGAGACTGCTAAATAAATACCAACTGAAAAAGTGAATAACAGAGAACTAGCAGGCTGCAGGCTGCTGAGAAACAAAAGGCTCCCTGTGGACTAGGCTCCCAGAAAATCTAGTGGGAGATCTTATGAAAACTAAGATGCACAGGGCTTCATCTCCTCATTGGTGTGGGAAAGTGAGGGCTGGATCGGGGGTTCTCAAATCCTGGCCTTCAGGATCCCACAGGGAGCCTGTCAATCAGAAATATAGGGCCTAGATCCTCGCTCTGGTGATTCAGATTGGGGGTGAGGCTGGGGGTGAATTGCCTCAACCACATCTGTCGTGTGTTTCCTATGTTTTGTTGTTCACTGCCTGGCCTCTCAAATACCAGCCACCCTCTCCTTTTTATCACCTATCCCTTGTCACCCCAGCACACCTAGCTCCTACCACAACAGACACACAGCAAGGTGGAGGTTTAGGTGTCACTTTCAAGTGTCAAGACACATCACCCAAAATTGATTAAAAGTTGCCTCTCAGAAAAATTCATTCCTCACTTCAGCCTCTGAATTGAGGCAAGAGGTTCATTTTGGTTCAGGGCCTAGACTATCACATATATGGACTAGAAGGGGGAAAACTTGGGGGTAGAAGTTCCAGCTCTTCACAGCCCTTGGGTCTGGTATGGGCAGAGTGAGAGGAGCAGTATTTGAGATTGATTGTCCTACTTGTCTTCATTTAGCACACTCTCTCCTGCCACCTGAGCCCTGAGAGGGAGTCTCACTCTACTCTGTGCTTCCTCACTGCCATCAGGGTCTCTCTAATATTTCTGGCACAGATGCCACCCTCCACCCTTTTCTACTGTCTTGATCATCCCCCAAGTTCCTGGGCTATGCAGACCCTCAGGGTGCTCCCACTCCCTGCATCTCTAGCATTGAGATGCTTCAAGCCTATAATTCATGAAGTGATGAAAAAAGCACCCCCAACTCACCGGTAGATGGCTTCTTCCAAGTGGCACTGGTGTGTCAGGCTTCTCAGCAACTGAACCAAACAGATCTGGAGGTAGAAAAGTGGTGTGCAGAAGTAGGAAATAAAGTTTCCTGTAGAAAGAGAAGGCGGAGATACAAGGTCAAGTGATGGCAAAGATTTGAAAAAATATATATATAGTTCTTCTTTTCCAGCCAGGGACATTGTACACTAGGTTGAGGTCTCCAGAGTAGAATTTATTTTGAAATCTTGCTTATGCAACCTCTAGGGTGAATCTGGCACACCCTGTGTATCTGCCTCTGGGTGTTAATGACTTGGGGTTCTTTATCTTGTGGGTCTCTGTATCTGGAGATCTTTCACTCTCTTCTGCCAGTAATAATTTGCATGAAACAAGCACACCAGAACTTCATTTCCCAGAGGATAAATGCTACTGGGGGCTGTTGGCTAAGGTGGAGGAAATATAATTAGATTTTATGTGACCATGTGCACTGATTTCATTGGCACCATAGATTTGGGATTTGGTTAGAAATTTTATTTAGACAGAGTTTTTTAATGAAAAGGGAATGCTAAATGGTCTCTTGTGTCAGAGATGTCCTTAGCAGGAGGGTCCTCCACTGTTATAGGTCCCACTCCTCAGAAAGAAATCTTGCTAAAAGAAAACACCATTAAGATTCTGGGAAGATGATGGAGTAGGAAGCACCAGGAATTTCTCTCCCCACCTAGACAACAATTCCACTGGCAGAATCTGCCTGATCTAACTGTTTTATAACTCTGGAGTCTGTTGAGGGTATGCAACTTTCAGAGGAAGGCTTGGATGATCAATTGCAGTTAACTTCCACCAATTTAAGCTCTGAGCACAGTAGCAGCTACCCATTCCCCCCCACCAGGCACCTTGACAAGCAGCTGTGCATGTGTTCCTGGAGTAGCTTGCACACAGCTTGCAGGAGACAGGGTGGGCAGAAATTGGACCCTGCCCTCCAGATATCGAGGATCTGTGCTCTGATTACTGATGATTCCTTCTGATCTTAGAAGTGCAGACAAAGAAAAGAGCAGCCATTGTCATTACATTTCCCCTTCATTGTTGCAAGCCCCTTCCCCTCTGGCTGAAGTGACTTTCAGAGGATTTAAAGAGCCAGCGCCCTTTATTTCTCTCCCTTTCATTTCTCTCTCTCCCTTTTCGGGAGCCAGACATTAAAGACTGGGACCTTCGAAAGCAGCTGCATTTCTAGGGAAAATTAGAAAGTGACTGCACATACCCAAGTAAAAGCACAGGCTCAGAAAATACCTCCTGAGAAGACCTTAAGTTCACATTTTAGTCAGATCCTTGTCACACAGAGAGATTACAACAATTACTGAACTCAGGTTCGGCTGAGTAACTGCCACTCAAAAACCAATAATAGAGAGACAAGTGTCAATAGAAAGGAAAGGTGCTTTAATCAGAAAAGCCAGCAATCTGGGGAGAATGTGTGCAGGAGAATGTGGACGTATGTCCTGAGACCAACTCTGAAGATTCCGCTCAGCCATTACAGTTTTAAAGGGGAAAAGGGGGAAGAATCTGAGTGAATCATTGAGGCAGGAGGTTGAGTTCAGCATCATTCTCCATTGTGTGCGGGCTGGCTGACTCTCTCTTCAGATGTTATTTTGCCTGTGTGATATGCCTACAGAATTAAGGGGGCTGTTGCAGGTAGAGAGCTAGTCATTCTTTAACTATTTAATTCTTCACTCTTAGTTCTTTTTATCTTGGAAAAGAATCAACAGGTTAGACAAGGTATTGTGTGTATTCAGGAGAGCATGAGTCAGGAGTTAGGTTAAATTGCCTAGTGCTCTCATTCCTATAATTAGGTTCTTTCACAGTTAGAGGGGGACAGAATTGGGCAAACAGGAAAGGGGCAAAAGAGCTGCTTTCAGTTCCCCACTGTCAGACATCATTCCATTTCAATGCCATTAGGGGCAAAGTTCTGTCTTCTGTAACTTATTCATGCTGACATAGATCACCATATTCTCAGAATAGAAGTTTCTTTGCTGATAATTTTAATTACCCACGTACATATATGGACAGAACAAGCTATTATTTTGATGCCCACAAGGATATAGATCATTATGAGCAATAATGTTAATCCCACTCGCTTGAGGCCAGTTCTTGGAATTGTGCTAGCCATAGATTCAGTACCGCTCAAAATGGAGCAGCTAAGGTCATGGCTAGAGTCTGGTCATCATGCAGTTAGTTTTTTATGTCTGGTGGCAGTTATGGTATCTGTAAAATGACTCAAGAATGTGCATCAGACACTGAAATATTCTATGACTCTATTGTCCTAATCATTAACTACTTAAACATGCTCTTTTGTAACTCAGGGAGGCCTGGGAAATTTTAGCTTTTCTATAAAAAAGAGGCAGGGGACATAGATGGGGCTTTTGTGCCTGGAGGGCCTTACAGGGTTCTACTTGGTTCCAACAATATAAACAAAACAAACAAATGAAAAACAATTGCAAAGAAGCAGGAAACCCTGGATAAGGGGGAGAATCTGGCTCACAGAGTTACCATGTTGTTAGATTCAAATATCCAGTTTCAATAACAACAACAAAAACCACAAGACATACAAAGAAACATGGAAGTGTGGTAAATCAACAGAAACTGTTCCTGAGAAAGATGTGATGACAGGTTTTATTAGACAGATTTTAAAACAACTGTCTTAAAGATTCTCAAAGAAGTAAAGGGAGATGTGGAGAAAATCAAGAAAACCATGTATGATCAAAGTGGAAATATCAGCAAAGAGACAGAAAACCTAAAAAGCCAAAAAGAAATTCTGCACCTGAAAAATACAGTAACTGCATTGAAAAGGTATTTGCTGCATTCATAAAAGGTAAAACTGCATTCACTAAAGGTATTCAAAGGCAGATTTGAACAGGCAGGAGAAAGAATCAATGAACTTGAAAATAGAATAATGGAAATTATTGAGTCTGAGAAACAGAAAGAAAAGATTGAAGAAAAATGAGGAGAACTTAAGGGACCTTTGGGAGTCCCAGGAGAAAAGAGAGAAAGGGGTAGAGAGAATATTTGAAGAAATAATGTCTGAAAACTTCCCAAATTTGAAGAAAGATGTGCATATAAACATCCAAGAAGCTCAGTGAACTCCAAATAAGGTCTAGAGGCTCAAACCAAGACATATTTTAATAAGACAAAGAGAGGATCTTGAAGTGGCAAGAGAGAAGCAAATTATTCACATACAAGGGATCCTCAATAAGATTGTAAATATATTTCTCATCAGAAACTTTAATGGCCAGAAAGCAGTGGACCCATATATTCAAAGTGCTAAAAGAAGAAAAACTGTCAAACAAGAATCCTATAACCAGCAAAACTGTCCTTCAAAAGTGAGGGAGAAATTAGGACATTCCCAGATAAAAGATTAGAGTTTTTTATGTTATTGAAGTTAAGCTGGTATAAATTTAAGTTGGAATGTTGTAACTTTGGAATGTCAAATGTGACCCTCATTGTAACCACAAAGAAAATAGCTATAGAATATATATTTTTTTCAAAAGGAAATAAAAAGGAATATAAACATTCCATTACAAAAAAACACACTAAACACAAAAGAGGACAGTAATGCAAGAAATGAAGGACAAAAAAGCTATAAGGCATATAGAAAACAAATAGCAATGACAGAATAAAGTCCTTCCTTATCAATAATTACTGTAACTGTAAGTGGATTAAACCCTCCAATTGAAAGACAGAGAATGGTAGAATGAATTAACAAAACAAAGCAAAATGAAAATATGATTAAACTATACACTGCCAACAAGAGACTCATTTCAGATCCAAAGACACAAACAGATTGACAGTGAAGGATGGAGAAAGATATTCCATGCAAATATTAACCAATATTTACAAAATGGATGTTAAGTCCAAAAAGTTTACGAGAGATAATGAAGGATATTGTATATTAATAAAAGGCTCAATACAGTAAGAAGACATAACAATTATAAACATTTACACCTATTGACAGATCATCAAAATATATGAAGCAAAAACTGACTCAACTGAAGGGAAAAAAAGACAGTTGTACAATAATAGTTGGAGACTTCAATACCCTACTTTCAATAATGGATAAAACAACCATACAGAAGTAAGAAAATAGAGGACTTGAATGGCGTAATAAGCCAACCAGGTTTAACAGACGTATACAGACCACTCTGCCCAACAACAGCATACACATTGTTCCCAAAGGCACACGGGACATTTTCCAGGATAGGTCATATAGAAAGAAGGATCTCATGCTGTATCCTTTGCAAATTTCTTAGCTTTGATTTCCCAACTATGAAGTAGGAATAATAAGGCTTCTGGGGGTCTGTGAGATTTAAATAAATATAAAGCAGCTAGTACTGTGCCTGGTGTACAGTAGGTGCTCATAAATAGTAGCTGTTAATAACCATAACAACAATAAAACACTCAGGGTAGTTCAAATGTCCTTTCTAGATTTCAATATGTTGTGACCATGTATCCTGACCATGCATCCAACGTAAAGGCTGTTTTTTGTGCGTCAGCTCCTTGTTTGACAGGAACAGGAAAATTTCCCCAATTGTCTCCTAATGTGATCTCTGGGCAGGGATTGGAAGGCTTTTTCTGAGATTTCAGTAACTGGTTCCACTCCCACTTATGGAATATCCTGATTCCAGCATCTCACTGTTAGTTCCTTTGAGTCAGTCTGGTATGGGGAAGGTCAAGACCCAGGAATTTTGCTGTTGCTGATTAGGACCACTCTGCATTTCTAGCTTCACACTAGACATCATTGTCTCCATCCCTGTAATTTTATAACCAGAGAGAGATGTACAAGTAGTTAGTGGTGGAGCCAGGATTCCAATCTTTGGCTTAACTGCAGCATGGATAATAGATGACACACTCGGCTGAGATTTTGAAGAGACTTTATGAGCATGTGTACAGAGGATAGGCAGTTAAAAGAACGAATAGGGGTGCTGAGGTGCCCAGAGGTGCTAGCAAAAGTGGAAGCTGTAATCCCTATGCTTGAAGAGTCAAAAGAATAAACAGTATCACCTGAGCCCTGTTGAGACCTGATGGTTGAAAGATACAGGCACGACTAGAACATCAGCCATGCAGGAGGAGAACAGAATCAGGAGTACCCTAACCTCCTACACCCACTCTAATCTTCTGCCAGTGCCTCCCAGTGACTGACCCCAATGGGAAGAGGGAACAGCAGGGAATCTAGGTGAGGTAGCCCATAGGCATCAACTTCCTGGGGCTCA